AAGTATAGTAATATTGTGTGTGATGGATGCCTGAAGTATAGTAATATAGAATGTGATGGATGCCAGAAGTATAGTAATATAGAATGTGATGGTGCCAGAAGTATAGTAATATAGAATGTGATGGATGCCAGAAGTATAGTAATATAGAATGTGATGGATGCCAGAAGTATAGTAATATAGAATGTGATGGATGCCAGAAGTATAGTAATATAGAATGTGATGGTGCCAGAAGTATAGTAATATAGAATGTGATGGATGCCAGAAGTATAGTAATATAGAATGTGATGGATGCCAGAAGTATAGTAATACTGATCAAAAAAAAGAAACACAGAGAGTGACCAAGACAGCTGGATAATGGGAAAGAGAGAGAGATTTACAAACAGATGAAGAGAGATGGGGTGCAGAATGATTGAGAAAGAAAAGGGGTGAAAAAGCGAAAAGGGAAAGATCCTCAAAGTCAGTACAGATGATCTTAAAGTTCCTTGCAATTGGAAATTATTTTGACTACAGCTTGGCATTGCTTTACTATACAGAAAGAGACCTGTGATGGATGCCAGAAGTATAGTAATATAGAATGTGATGGATGCCAGAAGTATAGTAATATAGAATATGATTGATGCCAGAAGTATAGTAATATAGAATGTGATGGATGCCAGAAGTATAGTAATATTGTGTGTGATGGATGCCTGAAGTATAGTAATATAGAATATGATGGATGCCAGAAGTATAGTAATATAGAATGTGATGGTGCCAGAAGTATAGTAATATAGAATGTGATGGTGCCAGAAGTATAGTAATATAGAGTGTGATGGGTGCCAGAAGTATAGTAATACAGAATATGATTGATGCCAGAAGTATAGTAATATAGAATGTGATGGATGCCAGAAGTATAGTAATATTGTGTGTGATGGATGCCTGAAGTATAGTAATATAGAATGTGATGGATGCCAGAAGTATAGTAATATAGAATATGATGGATGCCAGAAGTATAGTAATACAGAGTGTGATGAGTGCCAGAAGTATAGTAATATTGTGTGTGATGGATGCCTGAAGTATAGTAATAAAGAGTGTGATGGATGCCAGGAGTATAGTAATATAGAGTGTGATGGGTGCTAGAGGTATAGTAATATAGAGTGATCTTTGCAAGAAGTATAGCTAGCAATAGAATGTGATGGATGCCAGAAGTATAGTAATATAGAGTGATGGGTACTAGAAGTATAGTAATATAATGTGTGATAGATGCCACAAGTATAGTAATATAGAATGTGATTGGTGCCAGAAGTATAGTTTACCTGGAACACTGGTCGGGCGAGCTTTAAATCACTTGCTCTCCAGTCTGTTACCACAGGCAATCCCAGGTGCACAAACCACACCTCTGCGGGGTACGTTCTTGTAAGTTGTCACCCGAGCTCACCAAGATGTCAGAGCTTCTGTCGAGCGCAGGGTCAGCGTGACAAGGCTAGCCATTAGCTCACAGCACATGCATCTAACTGATTTAACTGGTCAGAAATAAATGGACACAACTTACTTATTGTGAGACAACACAATAGATTACACCATTTAAATACACAGCACAAAAAGACTATCCTTTTATAACAGGACACTGTAAATCATCTACGCAATCACTAAAGAAATATACTAACTCTAACGTTCTATCACTGTCTCGCTAACACGTCCACTCGGTCCGAACACTGCACCTCGAATCCCCTGTCTTCTCTCACCTCGTGTCTTTTGACCCGTTAACCCGCTCAGTAAGTCATGGGACAATCATGCTGCGAACTTGTTCGGAAAAGAGTTCACTCTTACTTGTAGTCTTCAAGTGGTCTCTACTGAGCGATAATGGCTTTCGCTACGAACCCCCAGGCACTTCTCTTTCCTTTCAACACTGAACCATCTGTATAGATATTCCGATCCCCTGGGCGTGAATTGTCGTGAATCATCTGTTGGACTTCAACCTCCGTAGCACCCGCGGGTTACTCTCAGCACTCCCGGCTCAGTGTAACCATAACCCTTTGTTCTGGTACTCTGACCCACTTCTCTCCTCGCCCAATGTTCTCCAGCATGCACACTTGTCTTATTGTGTCTTCTACTTGAGCCATCCACGATTTCCCCCTTTTCAGCCTCTGACCCTTACCTGCAGCCAAAGCTTCATACAGAGGGTGTTCCCTGTCTGCAGCTACTATGAGGTATGACTTAGCCTGCAACATCTTTAGCCTATCGACAATGCAAAGTTTTATCGCATACACACAATCAGGGTGTCTCTTGTACATCCCAGAATCACCCGCATAGTTTCATTCTGTATGCGCTCCAGTTTCTCTAGCTGACTCTTCCATAATCAATCACTGAGATGATTTAGTGCTGGTAAAGTATGAACAGCATCCTCTGGTCCATGTCCATCGCTGCCATAATCTTTAATGCATTAAGACGTTTTTGAGCACTTGTCACAGCCCCCTCTATGTGATTATTGAAAGAAAAACTTATGTCAAAGGTGATTCCCAGGTACCGCAGTCTGCTGTGTCTTTTGATCTCCCTGCCATTTATTTTGAGTCTGGGAACATCAGCTCTAACAATTCGGTTGTCCAAAGAATATCACAGGACGGTCGGCTTTTCTGGGTTGATTACAGCACTCATATGTGTACACCAGTTGATCGCCTTATCTACTGTCGCCTGTAACTCTTCAGCTATCTGATTCTGATCTCTCTCCTTCCTATATACGAGAACATCATCTGCAAATGTGAATATTCTGCCAACTTCAGGTGTTTTCAGGTATGCAATCTTGCTCGTAAAACACTAAACAATGCAGGTGAAAGGGGACGCATGAACGGACTAAATGAACGGATGTTGGACATTTTTGCATCGTTGCATACAGAAACAGTTTATTATACATTATTGACAGTACAAAGACAAAAGGCTGTGAACAGACATGATTTTCAGTACACAAGTAAGAAGACCAGAAAGACTTGACGACGAAGGTTATATGGCAGTGGCGTAGCAAGGTCCCGTGGTATATGGTGTAAAAAACTTCCAGTCACACCCATCTCCTCCCCCTCCCCAAAAAATTATTACGAAAAGGAAAAATAAGATACACGCAGTATATATTTTTTGGCTTATTTACTCAACACTGCAAGCATAAGCACTTGAAACCTATTTCTCCTAACTTTGTTCTCCGCAAATTCCCTTTTCTACTTTGTTTTTAACTGACAAGATAGATAAGCCGAAGAGTCCAGCTTGTAGTGGACCTAAGATAGCTCTTGATTTTAAGTTTTATAAACGCATATCACGTGATGCTACAAACTGACAATATATTGATCGGCATTCATAGAAAGAAAAAGAAAGATAGAAGGACACACCAGACAACATAAAAATCGAAAGCTACAGTTACCGTGCCGGGATTCGAACCTTTTACCTAAAAATGGCGTGTGGGCCTCGCTATGGAAACAAGCGTACTAAGAAAATGACCAACTCATTTACAAGAATCCTAAGGCTAAAATTAAAACTGGTACAGTGGGTAAAATTTTCTTTAAATTGGCGCGAATTCTAACTGGATTATTATTTTAAACACACATATTTTTTTTACATCTCTCCCCCCCCCCCCCCCCCCACTTTTTTCCCTTTAGTGATGGTACGACCGTGAAGAGCGGATAGAGGGCAGCATGGGCGTACACAGCGCTTAGGATTGGGGGTGGGGCATGAAGGAGGATAGTGGCGTTTACCAAGCTACCACATCAAGCATGGCCATGAAGATAGATGCTGCTTCCTGATGACTAGCATGGGCGGCAGAACAAACAGTCACACATGCAGTAATCCTATCAGACCATAAGAACATACTTCAGAAAATCCTTACGCCGGAAATAGCACTGAACCTCCCTCAGCCGGATCCATAAACCTGGCAATGCCGGTGTGAAAGGCAACAGATTAGCTGAACAACTGGCAACAATGGACCAACGAATATGAGAAGAAGCATGGACAGAGCGGATACCATCAACGCTGTGCTAAATAGTTTAGTGATAATGACGAATCTCTGACGCTAACACGACAGCGTGACATGGGAGTAAAGCATGGTTAAGTACGTATTTGCCACCTTCGAGACCGAGAAAGGAGAGATTATAACCAGCTCCTCGTAGGAACAATCAGTAGAGGTACCGTGGAGTGACTGCTGCATCGGAGGACAGAGAACATATGGGAATGCTTATGTACCGTGACGTCGACTATGATTACATAACACAAGCCTGGTCTATAATAGGCTGTGAACAGACATGATTTTCAGTACACAAGCTAAGTTTACTCAGGGGCCACAATTTAAAAAAAATGGAAATCGTCACGGGCCAGAGGTTAGAGCCCCAGCGTAGACAGATCATTATTACATTACAACTGTCAATGATCCACGGGCCACTTGCTAGTTATTCCCCGGCCAGATTAGGCCCGCAGGCTGCCAGTTGAACATCTCTTGTCTACAAGAAGCCAGAAAGCCGTAGACAGGCCGATCGATCGTAGACAGGATTCCACAGTTAAGTCTATAAATATAGATTTGGGTTGAGAATAAACATGACACAATGACATTCCCTTAAGCGCCGTTTTCTCCTCAACTTCGACAGCAAGCGTAAAGTCATAATTCCGAGCTCGCCAGAAGCAGTCCATATGTGTGACTTGCCTTTCCCCTGAGTGGTGAATACATTTCCTGGTCAACCCCGCTGCACTATTCCCTCAACACTGCGATGATCTATTTGTGTCTTAGTACTGTTCACTCTCTTCTAAATGGCCTTGGCCACATCTCGCTTGTCATAAACCGAGTCACCACTTCATGGGGAAGCACCAGCCATTCTCTCTGCTCGTTCGTTTCCCTAGAGAGCAGAATCAACACAGGGGAGCCTACTCCAGAAATGGCCTGCGAATGCAAGAGACACATCCTGGGTTGGAGACTACATCTGCACTTCCGTCAACAACAACACACCACTTTTTACCAATGATTGAATAATCCACGATCACATCAGTCAACAAATATGAATTTAGGACCCACTAACCCCTATACCAACGGACTTCTGTTTGCTGGCTGGAATCAAGACCATGGTAATGTTTATTTGAAAGTCTATATAGTTGTATTTAATGGAGAAGATATTGCTTTGTATAAAAGGCTCGCCCCTCCCCCTTTTCCATTTTTTGATTGTCAAGTCCGACGATCGCGGTAATTTATCTGGCCGCCAACCAGCGATGATGTATGTTACGGTGACGGTTTTATTTATACATTCATACAAAACAAATAATATAGGGCTAGACCTATAATCCTATATTTTTAGAGACCAATCGGCACAAGATGATACAAATAATAAAAGGTTACAGTAAATCACTGTTTTTACAGAGATAGTGTGTGGTTTTTAACAATATAAACAGGATCATTTTACAAGGTGTTTACCGTTTGTTTAAAATTGTAGAATTGTCATGCAGGTGGTATTGGGTTAAAGTGACAGAAATGAAACTATTATAAGTTTAAAAAATATAATTGAATTATTAATTAATTATTAACAGGAACGTATGATCTTATTTTGTTGTTATTGGGTGAATTTAATATAGTCATAATAATCTGTCATGAAAATGCAACATGTTAACTTCGGGTAGGTTTTATGTATTTTCATTATCTTGGTTTTTGCTGATGTCTGATTTAATTGTTACAAGTCAGTTCAAATAAGACATCAAGTGGTAGCGGTAGCACATAACAAAAATATACAACTTGTAGAGGTCAACTACTGACCACATGTTTCCTGTCAAGGACCGTAATGTTCCATGACACTGTCAACTCACATTATACAACATGTGACGGTAACATTAAAATATTTCTGGTAGTTATAATAAAATGAATTCAGTTGTGGGGAATTACTGATTTGATAGGGAAATTAAAAACCGCTTATGAAATGAATGCAGAAGACCAAGGAAAGTAAAATGAGTGCAGGTTTCAGAATGTAAATATTTGGGTAGTAACTGACACATGGGGGTTGGCTCTTAGTCTGTGCATCAACAGAAATGAGTTCATTATGTGGGGGGAGTGGGAATTTGGGGTCTTTTCAGTAAAAGTAATTCGATTATTTCAGATAAAACTTATAATTGAAATTTGGTTTACAGCTGGGGACAAGAAAAAGAAAGACACATTTAATTTTTTTTGTTTCTTAAAAATGTCTTTCACCTCATGTGTTGTTGTTTGTTACTTTTCAGGATGTTTCTCTTGTGGCATGGAAAGTGGGTTCCGTGTGTACAATTCTGACCCGCTGAAAGAGAAGGAACGACAAGGTATTTGATTTGTTAGTTTGATCCCAACATGGGGAATTTGTTACAATTTATGTGTAGGGTATGCTTGTGGTAGTGCAGTCGCTAGAAGCCTGCCTCTTCTCCTGAAGGTATTAGGTTTGAAAACACAACAGGCAGACTTTATATAAATATCCCAAACGAGCAGGTTCTAATGGCCTCTCCAAAACATCATACTATAGGGCTCAGTAGAGGAGAAAAGGCAGACCAAGAAAGACCTGGATACAGAACTTGACTAACTGAACAGGACTTTGCAGGTAACCATGAAGTTCATCACACCTGAACATCAAAGGTGGTGGGAGCTGACCAGACAGTCAACAGCAACTGGTGACCCAACAACTTGCAGTGTTACATGAGGATGATGAGCAGGTGTGATGCTGAAAATTGTACCAATTAAGAACTTATAGCTTAACCCCCCCTCCCAATCCACCTCCTCAAAAAGTAAACGCTATGTGCCCCGATCGTGTATTGGTATGAATAGGGTCCCTTGCTACTACGTTTACTATGTACCTGTGGTTGTGTTCAAAGTTTCTTTACAGGGTCCCAGCGTACAGTTTTCTTAATATTTTACCTGGTCATATCCTGCGCTACATTCTATCTAATTCTGATCTATTATGATTGACAGCTCTTCCTGCTCTAACATGCAGCAGCTAAAGTTATTGACCCCATTTAGGGTCAAGGACCTCATTACAGGGGAGGGGGAAATCAAACAAGCAAGCCATAAATGGCAACTTATTATGTTTTTACTGAAAGCAACTAATTAAGTGTTTACTGAAATCTGATGTGTTGGGGGCCAGAAGATGCAGCTTTTGCAGCGACCTGTCAATGACAACGTGATAGAAACCATTTCAGGGCAAATACAGACTGAGACAAAATGTGTACTGCTGCTGATACTCTGCCGTAATAAACCAAGTGTCAGTGACAGCATGCCTCATTTGTTAGCACACATTTTAAAGCACAACAGAAGAGGCCTGAAACCTGGGAGTCGTGACCTAGGTTGTCCTGCCCTCAGAGAGTGTCAGGAAGATAAAGAGGCTGAAATGCCTGTTGAAGGGGTGACTACTCTTGATGATCAGATGACTACTGCTGTATTTGCTTCTCAGCGGAGTACTTTCTACATTTAAAGCAAATAAAAAGTCTTCCTAGATAATAACTCTTGAGAAAAGTCCTGGTTGTTCATCAGTTTGTAGACTTTGGCTTTATTCTAAGGCCTGAGTCTTGCATGTGGGTCTGTTTTACACATCTTTGAAAACTGCTGCTTCCTTGCCTGTCAGGCAGACTTTGATGTTAAAGGAAATGTCAATCCTGTCTCTGGGATGACTGTAGCCAATATAAACCTTTTGTTCCCGTTTAGAAGAGACTTGGTGGGCTAAGTGCCAGAGCTCGCCTAGACACTGTTTCTGTGAGGATCACCAGCTTCACCATCCCCTAGCATGTCTGTTTGGGCTCATATAGAAGTCCATAAAACCAGCACAGAGAATACTGGCAGCTGAGGTGAGGTACGGTATATTCCCTTATACAACACACAACAGACAAAGCTCTCCCCATGCCTGTCTTTGAAGTCACAGCGGCCCTGGGCATCACATGAATTTTGAGTTTACAAATGAAAAGTTGAGCCACCGTTTTTGTCCAATTTGTGCAGATTTTTCCGATGGAGGTATTGGGCATGTGGAGATGTTGTTTCGCTGTAACTATCTGGCTCTGGTTGGAGGCGGGAAGAATCCCAAATACCCACCTAATAAAGGTATCTTTTTTTTTCCTTTGCTTTTGTTAGTTGAAGTTTTTAACAGTTAAGAGCAGAGTTAAATTGGTAATAAGAGTGAAAATAATGGTAGATTCAATTTAGAAAATACGGAACTAAATAGTTTGTTTCAATTTAAAATATATGGAACTGGATAGTTTCTTTAATTTAGAATAAACGGAACTAAATAAACTAAATAGTTTGTTTCAATTTAGAATATACGGAACTGAATAGTTTTGGTGTTGTAGTTTAATTATGTGTTTTGTTTAACGAAGTTAATCATTTTCAAGTTTGTTTTATTATATTTTTTCACCCGACCAGATGATTTCTTATATTTGTATACTGTTTTTCTAGACTGCTTTTTGCTACGTTCCTTTTTAGATTGCTATTTTTATATTTTTGTGTATTGTTTGAACTAGATTTGCTTGACTGTTTACAAGCTATGTATATTTTTCCTCCATGATCATAATACATGTGTGATTTTGTTGTTATCATAATTTAGCCCAGAGAGCAGCTTCAGAGAGTGACAGCATGAACGTGAGGTTGTGACTTTCTGAGAACAAAAGAAGTCGAATAAAAATAGATGCATCTTAATTTAATATTTCAGTATTGTCCCTGTAGTTACCAAAAAACCCTGGTTTCATTCATTCTGTTGTTCTGCAGTGATGGTTTGGGATGACCTAAAGAAAAAGCATGTTATAGAACTAGAGTTCTCCTCTGATGTCAGAAGTGTGCGGCTGAGACGAGACAGGTAATGACTGCATATTGTCCCTGTCCTTTGAGTCTGTCATATTTTTTGTATTTTTATTTTACCACCTCTTTTTCTCTGCTAGCCTGTGGGCACCTCCCTGTCAGGGTAGAATACACGCTTAGCTTTATGTTCAAGGTTACATAAAATTGTAGCAAGTATGTAAAGAATAAAAGTAGTGAAATGCTGAATAGTTTTTAGAACTGGTCACCATTTTTAACAGAAGATACCGGTATTTACACATCAGCTTTTTAAAGCCTGCCTATTTTTTGGCAGATCAGCTTGGAAAACCTGCCTAGTTTTGACATATCAGCTTGGAAAACCTGCCTAGCTTTGGCATATCAGCTTGGAAAACCTGCCTAGTTTTGACATATCAGCTTGGAAAACCTGCCTAGTTTTGGCATATCAGCTTGGAAAACCTGCCTAGTTTTGGCATATCAGCTTGGAAAACCTGCCTAGTTTTGGCACATCAGCTTGGAAAACCTGCCTAGTTTTTGCACATCAGCTTGGAAAACCTGCCCAGCTCTCAAAATAAATTGCAACCTTTGAAAAAAAATGTTCATATGCAAGTCCCTTCTTGGGACAGACGGTTGTAGATGACTTTAGGCTCCCACATTTCTATTTATTTATGACCTACAATATAGATCCTTGCAAGACTTCAAAGCTTTGAGATCTCCACTGGTAGCACTTATACCGCCGCTTAAAAATTATGAACTTTTCAAAGCATGGCAGATAGTCAGAGACAGTAACTGCCCTTAGGTCACATTTAAGATCCACATCAGTGCAGCTTGGCAACCCCAGTCTCTTGCTGGATGTTCCTCACCTTTAAAACAGTCACTATCTAATGTTTTGTCCATACAGCACAGATCATTCAGTATAATCTATTGCCTTATCGACACAACCATGAAGATCAATCACTTGTTCAATTGTCCGGCTTCTCCTTTCATCACACCACTGTTTTCACACTCCTCCAAATGTGGCTATCTCCTAATGGTGGCTATTTCTGTTAACTGTTAGTGTGTGTTCATTCATCAACCTAGGATGCATGTTCTACTGTGGCAGTACTTTTAATTTATAGTTTGTATCATCCATGGATTTTTTTGTCTAATTTGTGTCCCCTTGGTATTGTTGGCATTTTTTTTGTTACTGTTTGATAATGCTAAACTTCCAGTCTTACCTTAGGGTTGTGAATCTAACTATTTGTTTTTTAGTTGTTGAAAATGCACATGAATTTCGTACTAATGAGGTAAACTGTATAGAAAACCCAGTGTGTTTGCTGAGTACGTTGAACATTTCACGATGATTGGAAGTAATATTTATTAATTTAATTTATTAATTAAGTAATTATTTATTAAGGCTATAGGGTACAACTTCACTGGCAGAAAAGTTACAAATCATGATCATTGTCCTGTTGTATCAGTAAATGTCACCCAGGGTTTGCAGTCTATTCCTCCATTTATTTCTATCCTATGTAGTCACTTCAGTATCATGGACAGAATTAACTCCAGCATGTTTAGCCTCTGTCATCACATGTAGTGTAGTGGTTAGATGCTCATCTGTGGTTTGAAGGTCTTGGATTTGAATCCTCATCAAGGTGGATGTTTTAAAAATTGACCTTGGCTCTCAGGTCGGCCCAGCCTAAAACGGGTACCAGGTAAAGTCCTGGGAATTGAAGGGCCACAGCAAGATTCTGACCACATCACCCACCGTGTGCTGATTGGTTTATAATAATATAAGTCTAGTATCAAATGCCCGATGCTCCACCGTGTGCTGATTGGTTTATAATAATATAAGTCTGGTATCAAATGCCCGATGCTCCACCGTGTGCTGATTGGTTTATAATAATATAAGTCTGGTATCAAATGCCCGATGCTCCACTGTCGTTAAAAAGGACCTTTTAATTTTACCACTAGTTTGTGGAAATCGCCGTCTCGGATCGGCTGGATGCTCGCCGCGGACCGGAAGGTCGTTGGTTTGCTTCCTGGCGGGCCTGGTCTTCTTTTTTTTTCAAAAATGACCTTGGCTTCCAGGTCACCACAGCCTTGAGTGGGTTCCAGGTGCAGTCCCGGGAAGTAAAGGCAGCTGGCTTAATACTGAGCACATCACCCATTTTGTGCCAATTGTTCTAAAAAAATTAGGTCTAGCCCATATGCCCTATATGCCTAAAGGTATGGAGAAGGGTCCTTTACTTTACTACCAGTTTGTAGTCGGGGTTGACCAGGTCAGTACAGAAAAATAAACTTTGTTTGGGAGTGTAACTCAGGGCCACCAGGAAGACAACGGAGCGGATTGCAGACATTTACTACAAGAGTACTCAAATTGTCCTTGTGGGTTCCGGGGCCCCGTTGTGGGGAAAACAAGAATACACCTACTGAATCACTAACTAAGGACTTCCTTCAGAGTTAGAGTGCATCTGCCCGAGTGGCAGGGAACAGCCAACTGTACACAGATCAGGCGGTAAAACGGATGTACACGCAAAGCTCAGGCCCTGAGACCGTTCAGAGTCTAAATGGACGAACAACCCGGACTTTCCCCTGGAGCTTATAGCCGGTTTACAAAGAATAAGAAGAAGTACTGCAATATTATGTTGAACCATTGATGCTGTGTGGCATCAGTGAACAAACTAACTAAACAAATTAAGAAGACCTTGGAGATGTCGTTTCTGAGATGTGCACGCTGCAGATACTGAGGACAGACTGACTTACAGCAGCTGTTTGCAGAGGGTTAATGGTGTGATAAGAAGAGAGGCATTGAAGCACATTGTTGATGACTGGCAAGATCAACGGTAGAAGAGGCAGGGGCAAACCAAGGGAGGTGATGCTTGATGGCCTGAAACAGTGGCATGGTGGAACATCATCAGTGGAATTGATTCAAATTACGAGGGACTGAGATCTGCGAAGAGACAAAAGCACCTGCACTGTCTGGCAGGGCATTTGATGATGGATAAAGATAGAAAAAGTCTAGCTTGAGGCGGTTGAGTGCCTGTGCTCCATTACAGGTCAGGGCAGAGAAAGAGAAAAGTATGAAAATGTGGAGATATTGCAGATATGAGGTTATAATTTCACACAGACATACTTTAGGCACATTCATACGTCTTCTTCTCTTCTTCCACCTTGTACCTCAGCCAAGTGTCAGGGGGAGATGTAACGTTAGTTGATTAGCTCTGTCAAGAGCACTGTTGATATTGATGTTCATTTCTGTAAGGCTGTTCTTAATGCCATCACTCCATGTTTTCCGAGGTCTTCCACTCGCTCTATACCCGTTGTAACATTTTAGTGTGGCTCGCTGTGGCAGATAGTATCAGGGTATTCTTGTGAGGTGTCCAAACCACTTCATTTGTTATTCTTTGATGACCTGTAAGATTGGCTTTATTCCTACATTCGTCTGATTTTATGATTTCATATTCTGTCTTTCCTTAAAACTCCTGCAGCTCTTCTAAGGCATTTAATCTCTGTTGCTACAATTTTACATTTATTAGAGGATGTAAGTGTCCAGTTTGGCACTGAAAGCATAATGTTGGCCAAAAATAGTTTTGATAAGATTCACTTGAAAATGAATACATTCATACAAAGATGGTAATCTCTTATACGTATATATTTGTTTCCCACTGAACAGGATTGTTGTAGCCCTCGACACAATGATCAAGGTGTATACGTTCACACAAAACCCTCAGCAGCTGCATGTATTTGAAACTGGTTTCAACCCAAAAGGTGTGTTTTGTTAGTCTCAGCTTGAAGGATGTGTATTTAGTTTGTGTCAACCCAGAAGTTTGTTTGTTTAGTCTGTCTTAGCCCAAAAGGTATGTGTTTTGTTAGTCTCAGCTTGAAAGATGTATATTTAGTTTGTTTCAGCCCTGAAGGTTTATGTTTAGTCTGTCTCAGCCCAAAAGGTATGTGTTTTGTTTGTCTCAGCTTGAAAGATGTGTATTTAGTCTGTTTCAGCTCAAGAAGGTTTTGTTTAGTCTGTTTCAAACTAAAAGTTATTTTGTTTAATTTATCTCAACCAAGAGGTATGTTATATTTGTCTTAGCTTGAAAGGCATTATTTAGTTTGTCCTAATCCAAAAGGTTTTTGTTTAGTCTGTTTGAAAAAAAAAAGTTGTATGTTTAATCTATCTAATTTAGTAAAGTGTGTTTAGTTTATATCATCTTTAATTAACAGTGCCTTTAACTTGCTTAAGTAAGTAAAACACATACACAGAAACGTAAAGAACCATTTTCGCATCCTGGGGCACATCGGACAAACTATGCTAGCTCCATATTTTAAAAGCCATGCAGGCCACCTTTGCCACTGGGACATTTCCTGATACCCACTGTATACTGAGTCGACCTAAGAGCTAATGTCAGCTCTCAAGAGAAAGCCACCTTAAAGATTTGAATTGTGTACCTCTGAACTAGCAGCCGAATGCCTAGCTGTTAAGCTGCAGTGGTTCTTAATAACCCGTCTCTCTGTTTTCCCTCCGAGCTGCTACCTGAAGATTTGACCACCGTTTTAATAGTCTCATCCTGAACAGCACATAAATCCGGCAAATTTCAGATACTTTGCTCAGCTCCAAAAGAAGTCATAATTAGGGTACTTAACGCTATTAAGGTCTGGTATAATGTGTCATCCCTTATGGGTAAGGATGTTATCTTTTTTTAGAGATAGCTTCGAAACAAATTATCCATGTCTTGGTGCTTTTTGTCTGTTTCATTGTTATTAACCAATCAGTGGATAAATATTTTATAAATTTAGCTCAACACATATTTATCTGTCACATATTTATCTGACACATATTTATCTGTTTTTCCCCCCCTATCCCTTCCAGGTCTGTGTGTCATGTGCCCAAATAGCAACAATTCCCTCTTGTCTTTCCCTGCCCGAAAAATTGGTCATGTGCAGATTGTTGACCTTGCTGACACGGAAAAATCCCCATTGGATATTCCAGCCCATGAGGCAAACCTCAGCTGCATGGCCATGAACTTGCAGGGAACCAAGCTGGCCACGGCTTCAGAAAAGGTCAGTGCAAAAGTGGTTTTATTTCACACAACTTTTGAGCCAGCAGTTGGAATCGGTATTTTCTTTCCTGGTTTGTGTGTATGCCCAGGCCACATGCTGTTTGAAATTTGCTAGGAAAAGATTTTTCATTGAAGTTATGTCTTATTATTTTATAATAGACATTTTGGAAATATTTTTTAAATAATAAAAATGTGGTTGAAATTGTGAGGCATGGTAGCATAATGGCTGAACTGACCCAAAAGTTTTTGATTTAAACCCACACCCGGGTAGATTTTTTAACAAATTGAACAGCTGCCAGGTGGAGCCAGTGTACATGGGCACCAGAAAATGGCCTGGGAAGTGAAAGCAGCCATCTTGATATTGACCATATCACACACCGAGTGCTGGTTGGTCTACAGAATACGAGTCCAGTATCGTATGTCCGGTACGCCACTGGCGATAGATGAGTCAATTAGGTTGGGAAGCATGGTAGTGCTCTGTCTAGAGCCACTGGTAACCACACGTATGGTAGTGCTCTGTCTAGAGCCACTGGTAACCACAAGCATGGTAGTGCTCTGTCTAGAGCCACTGGTAACCACACACATGGTAGTGCTCTGTCTAGAGCCACTGGTAACCACAAGCATGGTAGTGCTCTGTCTAGAGCCACTGGTAACCACAAGCATGGTAGTGCTCTGTCTAGAGCCACTGGTAACCACAAGCATGGTAGTGCTCTGTCTAGAGCCACTGGTAACCACACGCATGGTAGTGCTCTGTCTAGAGCCACTGGTAACCACAAGCATGGATGTATTTAGTCTGTTATATATATTTAAAAAAAATTTCCTGTCATTTAGGTATTCTTCTTTTTTTTTGTTCACCGGCTGTAAGCTCTGACGAAAAGTACTGGTTCTTCATCCATTTAGACTTTATGGCTTTCTGCCAGTGCCTGAGTTTTGCGTGTACATCAGTTTTACTGGCTTATTTTTGTGCAGTTGGTTGTTCCTTGTAGCTCAGGCAGATGCACACTGACTTCGAAGGAAGTCTCCAGTTAGTCGACTCCTATGGCATGCTTGTCTCCAGTTAGTCGACTCCTATGGCATGCTTGTCTCCAGTTAGTCGACTCCTATGGCATGCTTGTCTCCAGTTAGTCGACTCCTATGGCATGCTTGTTGGGAAGGCAATGGGTCTGTTTTTGTTTTCCCCACAATGGGACCCTGAAACCCACACTGGGAGTTTGGCTATTACCTTTGATAAGTGAGAGAAAAACAAATACTTGCTGTGATTTGTGTGCCTGGTGTGGTTCATTTTTTACTTGCTGTGATTTATGTGCCTGGTGTGGTTCATTTTTGTGTAAGGACCTGTAGCTTAGGGATAGTTCATAGTTTCATAATCCTGGGTTCGATTTAGGTGCATGCTTTATGGCAGCAGAGCACTTTGCATTGATTTCAACAGTCTTATAACCATGCCTTACAGTCACTGATTGTCATTTCTGTTTACTGTTTCAGGGAACACTGATCCGTGTATTTGATACAGCCACAGGGACCCAGACACACGAGCTTCGCCGTGGTGCCAACCATGCACACATTTACTGGTAAATTATTATACTGTTGTTTTACCTACATCACTTTCTTCAAGTTTAACCCATTCTGTACCAATCAGCTTTCCATGAGTACTATAGTTAGCCAAAGAAAACACAACTCTGATTGTTTTTCCAGTTACAGACAATTTTACATTCTCTTATAGTCAGTCCTTACATAGTCTGTCACATTTCATTGTCACTCAGTTCTTCATTGTCACACAGCTCATTGTAACAGTCAGTTGTCACTTATTTCTTCACTGCACAGTTCATTGTCACACAACTCATTGTAACAGTCCATTGTTACACAGCTCATTGTAACAGTCCGTTGTCACTTATTTCTTCACTGCACAGTTCATTGTTACACAGCTCATTGTAACAGTCAGTTGTCACTCAGTTCTTCACTGTTACACAGCTCATTGTAACAGTCCGTTGTCACTTATTTCTTCACTGCACAGTTCATTGTCACACAGCTCATTGTAACAGTCCGTTGTCACTTATTTCTTCACTGCACAGTTCATTGTTACACAGCTCATTGTAACAGTCAGTTGTCACTCAGTTCTTCACTGTTACACAGCTCATTGTAACAGTCCGTTGTCACTCAGTTCTTCACTGTTACACAGCTCATTGTAACAGTCCGTTGTCACTCACAGTTCTTCACTGTTACACAGCTCATTGTAACAGTCCGTTGTCACTCAGTTCTTCACTGCACAGTTCATTGTCACACAACTCATTGTAACAATCCATTGTTACACAGTTCATTGTCACAATCCATTGTCCCTCAGTTCTCCATTGCACAGTTCATTGTCACAATCCATTGTCCCTCAGTTCTCCATTGCACAGTTCATTGTCACAATCCATTGTCACTCAGTTTTTCACTGCACAGTTTATTGTCATACAGCTCATTGTAACAGTCAGTTGTCACTCAATTCTTCACTACACATTTTATTGTCACACAGTTCATTGTAACAACCCATTGTCACATAGTCAATTGTTACACAGTTCATTCCACAGTCTGTTGTGAGAAACTTTTTCCCAATAAAATTATTAAGTAATGTCATGGTGGTCTCTGAGACGAGCATGTATTTGATGTTTCAGCATCAGCTTCAACTCGGATTCCACGATGCTGTGTGTGTCCAGTGATCATGGAACTGTCCACATTTTTGCTACAGAGGATGACAAGAAAAACAAGCAGTCCAGGTATATGTCAAACACGTACATTGTGAACAAGATAAGAAAGATACGTATTATTGACGTACCCATGTAAAAATTAGCCTTTATTTATTTAAAAGTGCGAGATCAAAGCCACTGTTTCCCATGTGGGTTCTGGTGCCCCACTGTGGGGGTTAAAAAAAAAGTAGACCCCCAAATAAGCATGTCATAAGAGTCTGTCTAATTAGGGATGTTTTCTTATAAGTTGGAGTGCATCTGCCTGAGAGGCAAGGAAAAACCAGTCTGCATACAGGTACAAATGGATATGCATGCAGCAGAAGTCAAGTTCTGGACCAAGACTGAAAGTTCAAAAGTAAGCAGACAACCAGAACTTTTCGCCACAGAGTTTATAATTGGTGAAACTTGAGAAGAAGAATAAAGCCAGTGCCAAAGTTGTCAGGGAAGTCGTCGTGGCGTAGCAGCTAGACACTCGCGTGCAGATCAGAAGGTCGTGGGTTCGCTCCCTGAAAAAGACCTTGACTCCCAGGTCGACCCAGCCTTGGGTGCAGTCCCCGGAAGTGAAGGGGCCGGCTTGGTGCTGACCACATCACCCATCTTGTGCCGATTGGTTTATAAAAATATAACTCTAGCCCTAAATGGCCTAAAGGTGTGGAAAAGAGACCTTCACTTTGTCTTTTAACACATAGGTCAGGAAAATTGACGCTGCTGGAAATCGGGCAAATAATTTCTGTGATGCTAAGATCCTTTCACTAGCCACGACTTATCTTTAGCTCGTTTTCTGACCGGTCATGATTCATTTATTCTATAGTTAATTTGTTCTAATCGTCTTTACTGTACCATGTGATTTTCTGTTTGCAGCCTGGCGTCTGCAAGTTTCTTGCCCAAGTACTTCAGTTCCAAGTGGAGTTTTTCCAAATTCCAGGTTCCAGGAGGTGCCCACTGCATCTGTGCCTTTGGTTCCGATCCAAACACTGTCATAGGTTAGTAGTTGTGCCTCCAATCTTTGAAGTTTTGATTGTTTTAATGAGATTTTATGTACGTTTATATTAAAAATATCTTAATTAGATTTCATTCACATTCAGAATATGTTTAATATAATTTCTGCTACCTGTGTAGTTTCTGTGATCCCATTTTGGGAGAAAATTAGACTCAATGATTAGGCTTAATGATTAGGCTCAATGATTAGACTCAGTGATTAGACTCAGTGATTAGTCTCAGAGATTAGACTCAGTGATTAGACTCAGTGATTAGACTCAGAGATTAGACTCAGTGATTAGATCCAGTGATTAGACTCAATGATTAAACTCAGAGATTAGAATCAATGATTAGACTCAGTGATTAGACTCAATGATTAAACTCAGTGATTAGACTCAGTGATTAGACTCACTAATTGGACAATGATTAGACTCAATGATTAGACTCAATGATTAGACTCAATGATTAGACTCAATGATTAGACTCAATGTTTAGACTCAATGTTTAGACTCAATGTTTAGACTCAATGTTTAGACTCAATGTTTAGACTCAATGTTTAGACTCAATGTTTAGACTCAGTGATTAGACTCAATGTTTAGACTCAATGTTTAGACTCAGTGATTAGACTCAGTGATTAAACTCAGTGATTAGACTCAATGTTTAGACTCAATGTTTAGACTCAATGTTTAGACTCAATGTTTAGACTCAATGTTTAGACTCAATGTTTAGACTCAGTGATTAGACTCAGTGTTTAGACTCAGTGATTAGACTCAGTGATTAAACTCAGTGATTAGACTCAGTGATTAGACTCAGTGATTAGACTCAGTGATTAAACTCAGTGATTAGACTCAGTGATTAGACTCAGTGATTAAACTCAGTGATTAGACTCAGTGATTAAACTCAGTGATTAGACTCACTGAGTAAACTCAGTGATTAAACTCAGTGATTAGACTCAGTGATTAGACTCAGTGATTAGACTCAGTGATTAGACTCAGTGATTAGACTCAGTGATTAAACTCAGTGATTAGACTCAATGATTAGACTCAATGATTAGACTCAATGTTTAGACTCAATGTTTAGACTCAATGTTTAGACTCAATGTTTAGACTCAGTGATTAGACTCAATGTTTAGACTCAATGTTTAGACTCAGTGATTAGACTCAGTGATTAAACTCAGTGATTAGACTCAATGTTTAGACTCAATGTTTAGACTCAATGTTTAGACTCAATGTTTAGACTCAATGTTTAGACTCAATGTTTAGACTCAATGTTTAGACTCAATGTTTAGACTCAGTGATTAGACTCAATGTTTAGACTCAATGTTTAGACTCAGTGATTAGACTCAGTGATTAAACTCAGTGATTAGACTCAGTGATTAGACTCAGTGATTAAACTCAGTGATTAGACTCAGTGATTAGACTCAGTGATTAAACTCAGTGATTAAACTCAGTGATTAAACTCAGTGATTAGACTCACTGAGTAGACTCAGTGATTAAACTCAGTGATTAGACTCAGTGATTAGACTCAGTGATTAGACTCAGTGATTAGACTCAGTGATTAAACTCAGTGATTAAACTCAGTGATTAGACTCAGTGATTAGACTCAGTGATTAGACTCAGTGATTAGACTCAGTGATTAGACTCAGTGATTAGACTCAGTGATTAGACTCAGTGATTAGACTCAATAATTGGACTCAGTGCTCCCCCCCCCCCCCCCCCTCTTCCCCCAAACAAACATGTCATAAGGGGATGTTTCCTTCAAAGTCAGTTCACATCTTCCTGATAGGCGAGGAACCAAAATATTGCACACATATAAGCCAGATCTGTAAAATGAAAGAGCATGTAAAACTCAAATTCTTGAACAAAACCAAAGTGGACCAACACCCAGTACTTTCCACCGGAGTTTACAGCTGGTGTATGCTAATAAGAGAAGCTTCATACAAAATGAACAAAAATAATACTTGCGTGCGACTGAACAAGTTACAAATGTTACTTCCCCAAATAAATAATTGCAAAAAAGACATCCTGCATTGTATATTTTTGAATATCCCTGTGTGGTTTCCTGAACCCTGTTCCGATAGGAAGAAAACAAAGAATCCCACTACCAACAAATGTGTCATAAGAATCAACCCTAAAGTTGTGAAAGGCATAAATATCACAGCCAAGCTGTAAAATATGTCAACTGCTTTTTTATGGATGAACGTTGAAGGCTTTCTTTTGTTTTGGGGTGGTACACGGTTCTAGGAGCCACCATTGTGTAGAGGCTAGACTCTACGGATCGGAAGGTCGTGGGTTTAGGTCCTGACGAATCCTGACTTTCATAAATGAACTTTGGCCACCAGGTTGACCCAGACTTAAATGGGTACCAGATACAACTCTGGAAAGTAAAGGCAGGCCGGTGTGGTGTTGACCACATCATCTCCAGTGCTGATTGATCTAGCCCTATATGCCCAGTACGCATGAAGGCCTGGAAATGAGTCCTTTACTTGTTTGTCTTTTCAAAAGGCTCTAGTGAGTTTGTGACATCCACATTGATTCTTTCTCTGTTTCAGTCATTTGTGCTGATGGCTGTTACTACAAGTTTGTGACATCCACATTGATTCTTTCTCTGTTTCAGTCATTTGTGCTGATGGCTGTTACTACAAGTTTGTGACATCCACATTGATTCTTTCTCTGTTTCAGTCATTTGTGCTGATGGCTGTTACTACAAGTTTGTTTTCAATGCCAAAGGGGAGTGCTCTCGGGATGTGTACGCCCAGTTCTTAGAGATGACAGACGATAGGACCTGAGAGTGGGCACCTTCGATGCCCCGGCATAATTTATCATCAGAGCGGCTGCTGTAACTGGGTGTTTTTGTGAGGGATTGACTGCCAACTTCAGCAGCTTGATATTTTGTTGCATATGAAACTTGTGCATTGTGAATTTATTGTTTCAATGAATAAACAATTCGTTGAAAGTGGAATCAATACATTTTTTCTTGATTGTAAACAAACGTTGGGTAGCTTGAGAGCCCAACCTACAAGTTGTATTTTTGTATGTGAGATGGAGATAGCAGGGATTTCATGGAAGCATGTTTTCTAACTTTTCATTAGTTTTATTTCATTGAGACTGGACAGACCAGATTTTTCCAAAATAAAATATCAAATAGAAGTCTGTTCTGTATTTTGATTGTTTCTTGGCAGTAGATTATTTGTCTGTGGGTATTCTTTCAGATGAGTCACTGCACACTGCACTTTTAAAAAAATGTGTTTATTTACTAAACTATGTCTTTTAGATGTGGTATCCTTGAATATTCAGCTATAGAAATGTTTTGTGTGTGCCATTTTTAAATTTTGACAATTATGGCACATGACCTCTGACCTATATTACTTCTGTTGCATATTATATTGTTTGAACTTATTGACTGCTATCAACCACTGACTGTGCCACAATTCATTAACCCTGATAAAGGATTACAAATATGCAGTAGGCTTTACCAAGTTTGTCAGAAGTAACAAGTGTGCTGGAAGTTGAGAAACTCTCAATTCTGGGCAGACTTTTCTTTTTAAATTTTCAGTAATGCTGGCAAATTTTGTTAGTACAAAACTTAAATAGTGAAATATAAATAGTCAAGCAGTTTGGATTCTTTAATAGGGTGAGGTTTTATTCTGACCAGTTTATATCTGTTGTCACTTAGACTAAAAATAGGTGCCAGAGAGGCCTTGTGGTCAGCCTAAACAATTTAGATGTGTACCAGTGGTCAGCCTAAATAATTTAGATGTGTACCAGTGGTCAGCCTAAACAATTTAGATGTGCACCCAAGATGTCTCTGAGGTCAACCTAAACAATTTAGATGTGTACCAGTGGTCAGCCTAAACAATTTAGGTGTGTACCAGTGGTCAGCCTAAACAATTTAGATGAGCACCCAAGATGTCTCTGAGGTCAGCCTAAACAATTTAGATGCTAATCAGAGAAGTCTTTGGTCAGATGGGTACCAGAGAAATGTTTCTAAGGACAGTCTAGACTTCTTAAATTGGTTTCTTTGTGCCTCTGTGATTAGCCTATACTCTTGAACTGGCTACCAGAGAAAATTTTGGTGTCAGCTTAGGCTCTTCCTGCAAAACATTCTAACATTAACCTAGGCTGCTCTCCACGGAGATATCTTTGTGGTCGGCCTAGGCTCTTCCACTAAAATATCTTTATGGTCAGCCTAGGCTCTTCCACTAAAATATCTTTATGGTCAGCCTAGGCTCTTCCACTAAAATATCTTTATGGTCAGCCTAGGCTCTTCCACTAAAATATCTTTATGGTCAGCCTAGGCTCTTCCACTAAAATATCTTTATGGTCAGCCTAGGCTCTTCCACTAAAATATCTTTATGGTCAGCCTAGGCTCTTCCACTAAAATATCTTTATGGTCAGCCTAGGCTCTTCCACTAAAATATCTTTATGGTCAGCCTAGGCTCTTCCACTAAAATATCTTTATGGTCAGCCTAGGCTCTTCCACTAAAATATCTTTATGGTCAGCCTAGGCTCTTCCACTGAGATATTGTGGTCAGCCTAGGCTCTTCCACCAAAATATTGTGGTCGGCCTAGGCACATACACTAAGATACTATTGTGGTCGGCCTAGGCATATACACTAAGATATTGTGGTCGGCCTAGGCACATACACTAAGATAATATTGTGGTCGGCCTAGGCACATACACTAAGATACTATTGTGGTCGGCCTAGGCATATACACTAAGATAATATTGTGGTCGGCCTAGGCACATACACTAAGATAATATTGTGGTCGGCCTAGGCACATACACTAAGATACTATTGTGGTCGGCCTAGGCATATACACTAAGATAATATTGTGGTCGGCCTAGGCACATACCACTAAGATACTATTGTGGTCGTCGGCCTAGGCACATACACTAAGATACTATTGTGGTCGGCCTAGGCTCTTCCACTGAGATATTGTGGTCGGCCTAGGCTCTTCCACTGAGATATTGTGGTCGGCCTAGGCACATACACTAAGATACTATTGTGGTCGGCCTAGGCACATACACTAAGATACTATTGTGGTCGGCCTAGGCACATACACTAAGATACTATTGTGGTCGGCCTAGGCACATACACTAAGATAATATTGTGGTCGGCCTAGGCACATACACTAAGATACTATTGTGGTCGGCCTAGGCACATACACTAAGATAATATTGTGGTCGGCCTAGGCACATACACTAAGATAATATTGTGGTCGGCCTAGGCACATACACTAAGATACTATTGTGGTCGGCCTAGGCACATACACTAAGATATTGTGGTCGGCCTAGGCACATAAACTAAGATAATATTGTGGTCGGCCTAGGCACATAAACTAAGATAATATTGTGGTCGGCCTAGGCACATACACTAAGATACTATTGTGGTCGGCCTAGGCACATACACTAAGATAATATTGTGGTCGGCCTAGGCACATACACTAAGATACTATTGTGGTCGGCCTAGGCACATACACTAAGATAATATTGTGGTCGGCCTAGGCACATACACTAAGATACTATTGTGGTCGGCCTAGGCACATACACTAAGATAATATTGTGGTCGGCCTAGGCACATACACTAAGATAATATTGTGGTCGGCCTAGGCACATACACTAAGATAATATTGTGGTCGGCCTAGGCACATACACTAAGATACTATTGTGGTCGGCCTAGGCACATACACTAAGATAATATTGTGGTCGGCCTAGGCACATACACTAAGATAATATTGTGGTCGGCCTAGGCACATACACTAAGATACTATTGTGGTCGGCCTAGGCACATACACTAAGATATTGTGGTCGGCCTAGGCACATAAACTAAGATAATATTGTGGTCGGCCTAGGCACATAAACTAAGATAATATTGTGGTCGGCCTAGGCACATACACTAAGATACTATTGTGGTCGGCCTAGGCACATACACTAAGATAATATTGTGGTCGGCCTAGGCACATACACTAAGATAATATTGTGGTCGGCCTAGGCACATACACTAAGATACTATTGTGGTCGGCCTAGGCACATACACTAAGATAATATTGTGGTCGGCCTAGGCACATACACTAAGATACTATTGTGGTCGGCCTAGGCACATACACTAAGATAATATTGTGGTCGGCCTAGGCACATACACTAAGATACTATTGTGGTCGGCCTAGGCACATACACTAAGATAATATTGTGGTCGGCCTAGGCACATACACTAAGATAATATTGTGGTCGGCCTAGGCACATACACTAAGATACTATTGTGGTCGGCCTAGGCACATACACTAAGATACTATTGTGGTCGGCCTAGGCTCTTCCACTGAGATATTGTGGTCGGCCTAGGCTCTTCCACTGAGATATTATTGTGGTCGGCCTAGGCTCTTCCACTGAGATATCTTTGTCATCAACCTAGACTGCTGTCCACTAGGATATCTTTGTGGTCGGCCTACATCAAGTAGCAGCCAGACATGTCTGTGTGAGGTAATGATGGCCGGCCAGACATGTCAGTGTGAGGTAATGATGGCAGGCATTTATATTGATCAGTCAGTGCTCACTTTCTGTTCAGTCACATCAGATAACAATATCACACACTACTCTTCATATTTTATGTCATCATCAGCATCATAGTCCCATAACACCGCAGGTCTTTGGGTCACCAGTTGCTGTTGACTAACTGATTAGTTTCCTGAACCTCTGTCAGTCAGATCCAACTGACTTGATGTTTGTTTGTTTTAGGACTGTCCAGTGAGCCTTATTCTGTTCCAGATCTTTTTGGTCTGCCTTTTTTCTCCACCTCTACAGAGCCCTGTGGTATCATTTAGAGGGGCCAGTAGATCTCGTAATTTGTCTTTCCAGTGTTGTCAAAAGGCATTTATTGAATGGTGATGCAGCAAACTTCTTCATTTGTGGCATGATCTCTTTAGGGTATACCAAGAATCTTTCAACAAGATCTCCTTTCCAGTGCTTGTATTTTTTCTTGTTGGAATGACATCTGAATGTCACCTGACTTTGTATTTTATTATTGCCCTGTAGAAACTTTCCAGTAGGCATTAGTGGTGACATCACCCGTCGGGTACTTATTGGTCTATAAAAAAGATGAGTCTAACTTCATATCCTACTCTATCCCTGGCATGAAAAAATTTCCTAAATTGTAGATACTACAAAAGTGAAGTGGCCATCTTGAAACTGTCATTTGATGTCACTGTGTTTGTCTTCACCGTGATCTCAGATGCTTAACACTCTTGATATCCTTAATAATGATACTGACAGGTTACAAGACAATATTTATTATATTTTCTATCACAATTTGTTCAGTAGGTTCTATTGTTGCCAGACCCCCGTAATCAGGTTGCTTGGTGCAAAACTTAATTAACTAGCGGCCCACGGGCAGCATCTGGTCCATTAAGGCCTAGCAAGTGGCCCACAGGCAACACCTGGTCTTTAAGGCCTAGCAAGTGGCCCACAGGCAACACCTGGTCCATTAAGGCCTAGCAAGTGGCCCACAGGCAACACCTGGTCTTTAAGGCCTAGCAAGTGGCCCAGAGGCAACACCTGGTCTTTAAGGCCTAGCAAGTGGCCCACAGGCAACACCTGGTCCATTAAGGCCTAGCAAGTGGCCCACAAATATGCTCCGATTTCCCTCTCGACATCGACATAAGTCATTAGCATTCTATGTTAAATACAGTACACGCCGCTTAACCAGCACTACAGTGCAGACCTGATAAGGCAAACGCACGTGGAACCCAAGTAATAATTCTTATTATCAGAAATTTCCCTTACCCAGAAAAT